ACATTTCAAATGGTCTCTTAGACTCAGTTTACTTTCCCCAATCAAACAGACAATTGGTCAATCAACAGGAATTTATTAACACCTACTATGGGCTAGGCACTGTGCTAAGCACTGAATGGCAGTAAATACTGTATCTTCTGCATGGATTATCCTCTCAGTTCCCTAGAGTGGTTGTTATTGTTCAGTTTTTTTTAAGTCATGTCCAACTCTTTGTGACCCCATTTGGAGTTTTCTTGGCAGAGGTGCTAGAGTGGTTTGTCATTTCCTTTTCCAGCTCACTTTACAAATGAGGAAACGGAGGCAAACAGAGTTAAATGACTTGTCCAGGGTCACACCTGGTAAATGTCTGAGACCAGATTTGAACTCATGAAGATAAGTCTTCTTGATTCCAGGCCCAGCACTCCATCCACTTTGCCACATAGCTGATAAAGGCAGTATAATGGTTACTTGCAAACCCTCTCATAAATTAAAACAAAATAATTAATTAAATAAACAATAATTATTAATACATTATAATAGACAACACATAATTTATAATATAATAATAAAGAACAAACCCAACAATTAATTAATAAGATAAGGTAATTGAATAATGAAAATAAAATAAAGGCCAAGTCTTCAGATTACGTGCTAAATTGTGGGAAGCCAGCTAGGTCTTACTGTAAGGATCTTTTCCTCTTACTAACTGTCCACGATTTGTAAGCCTCAGATAAGCTCCAGACATCTGCAGTAAGATCAACAGAACACCAGATGTTGCTGATAGCTTTGAGATGATGTGAATATATTTTATTTTTTCACCCCCTATCCCCCAGGCTGCAGCCTTAAGGTGACCAAAGCCCTGCCGCACTCCCCCACCCTGTCCCCAGGTGAATATGTTATTGAGCTAAGCCCGAGGTGGCACAGATAAGAGCTAATCTGTCCTCCACCAAAACCATATACAAATGAGACACCGAAGTCCTGTTTCCAAACCCTCATCCATTTCCAAAGGGTCCACGCTGTCTGAGTGCTCCCAACTCCAATCCATAATTACATTAACTGCCTCTCTGTGCCTCTTCGCTTTCCTATTCTCTTCCCCACGATGCCTGTCTTCCTCTACCACCCCAACCCCATGTTGTCTGACTCTGAACCTTCTCCCCACCCCATTCCATTTGTCTCTGAACTTTATATGCTGTTTGCCTTAATACTTTCTGTGCCTTATTTTTTAGTGAATATACAAAGAACCTAGCATGCCTGTCCCCCACTCAACCCAGAGGCACCCCCTTGTGGTCCCATTCCCTTATTCCAAAAATTAATTAGCAATTCAACATCCATATCTATAGCACTTATACACATGTCAATATACCCATATCTGAGTACTAAATAAATATGAGTTATCTTTTATAGAGGATGGGAGAAGCAAGGGAAGCCAATAAAGAAGACAGAGGCACATTTGGTGGGGTAGAAGAGAGACAGGAAAGTAGGGGAAGATAAAGGGATATTTTTAGGAAGGAGAGAGTAGTTAATAAGGTTAAATGCAGCAAATACAGAAGAAGAAGGGATAGGAAAAATCTATTAGAAAAGGCATAGGTAGCTAGGTGGTTCAATGGATCAAGAGCAGAGCTTGGAGTCAGGAAGGTGTGAGTTCACATCATGCCTCATACCCTTACTAGTTGTATGACCCTGAGCAAATCATTTCTCTTGTCTCAGTTTCCTCATCTGTAAAGTGAGGGGAGAGTTGGACCTGATGGCCTCTAATGTGCCTTAAATGATCTAACTTTATTTGATTAGTAGGGCACCATTGGTAACCTTTGAAGGAGTTGTTTCCATAGGATGATGGGAATGAGCCATCTTACAAAGGGTTGATGTAAGAATGGGTAACTAGAGGAATCAGAGGAGGCAAGTGTAGACTTACTAAGTGAACAATGGAAGGAGACAGAACAAAGAACTCAAGGGTTGAGAAATGGCTTTATTAGGATGAGGAAGACCTGAGCATGTCTGTAGTCTAATAGAAGGGACTGCCCAAGATCATGTGGGTCAATGGATAGGCACAAATGCAGTTTTCCGGAATGCCATTTCAGTGCCCCCTCAGGACAGGAAGAAAGAAGCCAATGGTGAAAAATACTATAGTCACTGGTGTTCATAAAGTGTGGGTGGGGCATCTTGGCTCATAACAGCTATGTTCTACCCATGCCTATAACAGTAGGCAAATTCCTCTGAAAATAACAAAAAATACTGTAAGAAGTAAAGTTCAATTTTACTATTAATAATAAAACACTTTTTCTCCATATTCATCAATATGTGCTTATTAGCTTTTTGTATTTTGAACATTTTTCAATGACAGGAGAAATAAACTTCTTTCCTATTACTGATCCTTATAATGTACAATGAGTACCTTTCCTAAAAGGGACCCCATTTTGGGGAGCCCCCACTTTCTGGGGATACCTTAGGCTCCTAAGTTATGAGTTTCTTTGGGGTGGTGGCAATGAGTCAGGGAAAGAGACAAGCCTAACCTCCAAACCCCTATTTGGGATCAGTCCCCCCTCAGAATGATCTCACTCCATTTGATTCTGGAGCGAAGCCCCTTGTGGGACTTTAAGACAACAGGAGGACAGGATAGATTACATATATTTTTGTCTATATTTCTGTGGGAACATGTCTCCCCTGGAAGAAAATAAGCTTCTTGAGGGCAGAGATTTCTTCATATTTTTTCTTTGTACACCCAGAAATTAGCACAGTGCTTGGTACATAACAGACACTGAATAAATGCTTATTGATTTGATTAATTAAATTTACTTTGTAACTTGCCAAATATAAACGGTAATGTGCTTGATTAAGGTAGTGGAAAGATTTAATAATCTTTCATTTAGTTTTTCAAAAAATCTTTAGTTCAAAAACATTTTCTTTGGCCCACAAAATTTGAGTTGGATTATTGCCACATTTGCCATCACTACCCCTTTTCTCCCCAACCATCTCCATCACTATTATATACTTTCAAGACCTAGGCTATTATGTGAGCTAGCACTTGCCTTCTTCTGTTGCTCAGAGAATATTAAATGATGTTTACGATGATGACTGTATTCCAATGCCATCTCTGAAGCAGGCAGACTTGATCTTGACAACTTTTGTGGGAATTAAGAATTCCTTTAAAGAAAGGGACAGTACTGTGTGGCTTTTGGATTGCATTGAAAAATTCTCCTTGCTTATGTAACTGATGGGAAGAGACTTATTTTAGGAAACCAATTGGTTGTGTATCCTGGCTTCAGAAGAATGACTGTTCTCTTAATTGGTCCTGCAAGGGGAAAAACAGAACTTTAACTAAAGAATGTGCAAAAAAAAAAATCTAACACATGCACTCTTTCAGCAGTGAAGGGACGGACTAAGTATTTCTATAGCACCTACTATGTGCCAGGCACTGTGCTTAGCATTCCACAAATATATCTCACTTGATCCTCACAACAACTCCTTACAGTTAAGGAAACTAAGGCAAAGAGAGGTTAAATGACTTACTGAGAGTTACATAGTTAGTAAGTGTCTGAGGCTGGATTTGAACTCAGGTCTTCCTCACTCCAGGCCCAGTGCTTTATCCACAGTGCCACCTAGCTCCATTCTTAGTTACCTCCTATGAGATTAGCATCTTGGTTTTGTTTGTTTGTTTATTTGTCCATACCTGTGATTTTACTGATGTGGGAAACTCCCTGGGTAGAAACTCCTTCTGACGTGGCTTAGGGGTGCTGGGACCCCCAAAATGTCAAGGTACAGAGTGACCTCGCCCGGAATGAATTTACACACTCAAACTGTCCTCCAGTCAAGTGGCAAAGTTTATTGTGATGCCAATAGAAGTGGGTTAAGTTCCTTCTGGAACTTGCAACTTAATGGGGGTGATGCTAAACTTACATAGAAGAGGGACAGTGAAATGAATGGCAAGTGTGCTAACTAGGTGATATGGAGGTGGGATTGGGGAGTGTTCACCATATGCAAGTAATCCAGCAAAGTGCTGGGCTGCTGGAGCGTATGGGAAAATTCAGGGAGTCAACAGAGATAGTTTTATGGAGGGGACAAGATAGAGGGGTTGCGAGAGTATGGTTCTTGGGCAGGCACCCTGTGCCTGCACTGATAGCTTTTATATGAGGAATTACAGGGTCAACTCTATGTACCAGTAACAAGGAGAGAATTTTCTCACAGGGGCTTATTGAGATTAGTGGTGCTTCCAAAGACATGGTCTTTGGCTTTTGGGGTCCAGGTCCCATCATCCCTTCGCTTCCATTCATGCAGAAGAGCATCTTCTCTATTACTTATGGTCTTAGAGAGTGACCTGGGTGGGGGAGGCAATAAGAAGTTAAGTGACTTATCCAAGGGCAGAGGGAAGACTTGAACCCAGGTCTTCCCGCCTCCAAGATATATCTCATACTGCCTCTATGGCAAGAATAACTAAAATAGGAAGCTGCCAGATTTCGGCATTTTTACTAACACCTACCTGACAAAGGTCACCCAGCAATTATGTGTCTTAGAGCTTGAACCAGATTTTCATGATTACAAGTCTGGTTCTCTGTCCATTGTCATGAAGTCTCTCAAACTAAGCAGTTCATATTTGCCCTCATTTTGCAAATGAGGAAACTGAGGATTTGAAAGTTTAAGGGTCTTATTTGTGGTCACATTGCTAGTAAGTTTCTGAGGTAGGATTTGAACTCGGTTCTCCTGAGTAGGAGTCAAGGGTTAGTATTTTATGCACTTGGCCATGCTGCCTCATTTAGACATATCAGAAAGTCAAGATAATTAGGACTGAGAGACCCATCAGAGACTAATATTTGAGGATAAAATTTTAGAGGAACTGGGAAGGTAATGTTTGAGCTATTAATCAAAACCATCCTGAAAACTCATGACCAGATGGCTTAAAAATCAGGCCATGGGGTCCCACTGGGCAACTCAAAAGCAAACATCTGTGTCTGGTGCAGCTTCCTTCAAGTAGGTGGCTGGCACCTCAGTGCTAGAAGCTCACTTTAGAAGGGACAGAGGGAGAGAAAGGTCAAAATGAAGACGCTGCTGGCCCTGGTCCTCTTTCTGTTCACCTTGACCATCTTTTCAGGTAGGAGATCAATCTATGAAAATTCACAGCACTGTTTACTTCTAAGATGGGAACATTAATGTGGTCTTTGTTATTCTGATTTCAAAATAGCACTTTGGGGACAGTAAAACTGATATTTTAGTAGTCTTTTACAACAGGTTACTAGAATCTCTTGTTAGCATCATTGGAGATAGACTAAGCTGCTTTATCTTTAAGTTAATATTGTGAGTAATCATTTTAAAAAAGTGTTGATAAATGTTGCTTCATTAGACAGACCTCTTTTATGTGGGAACATTTAAATTGCCTGTGGTTTTCTCATTACTGAACATCTCCCAATAAAAATGTAATAGCTTTTAATCTTGAGCACTAGCTTAGAGTTGGTGCATAAAAATATTATTTTTATATTTTAAGAAATGATACCCAAGCCATCAGAAAGATTAAATAGGATATGGAAGAAATGTTGTATATTTTTAAAAATGTAAACTTTCTAAATGAAGAGATATTTTTAATAGAGTGACCATTTGCAATCTGGAAGGAGGATATTTTACGCTATTTTTTTTTCAGATGAGCTTTATTGTCATCACAGATATATTTAAAAATATTCAAAATTCCATCCCAAACCTCCTGGAATGCACTCTCTTGGGATGGGGCCCTCAAAGAAAGAACACTCTTGTGTGTTAACCCAAATCACACTTGCAAATATTTTGCTGTTGCATGGTGAGTTAAACAATCAACTTCTTGTTAACTTTAATACCTCATCTCTTCTCTCCCCCATCCCCTTTAGATTCTTCCCCAATACTGACAGAAAAACAAGCTAAGCAGCTCCTGAGAAGTCGGCGGCAGGATCGGCCCAGCAAACCTGGTTTCCCTGATGAGCCAATGTGGGTGAATGCTTTTTTCGGTCAATTTTAAGGAAAATAAGGTCATTTAAAAAAATGGTAATTGTTCAAGGTGTCCAATTGAAGAGAGATAATTTAAACATCAAATTAGGGCAGGTGCTAAGCCAATTATTAAGCTTTTAAAACCAAGCATTAATTAAATATTTATTATTATTTAGTAATTTCATGCTGAGAGGCAGAGCTTAAGAGAGGGGTAAGAACACTGGACAAATACCGAGGGACTATTCTTGTCTTTCCCTGTAGCCTCAATGCTTAGCACCGTACCTGGCATATAGGAAGGGCTTAATAAATGCTTATTGATTGCTACTGGGCTGGGTGCTCAAATAATGGATAGACTGGACTTAGGTCACAAGGCCAAAATTCAAATCCTGCTCCTGATACCAGCTCTGTGACAGTAGATAAGTCATTTAACCTTTCTGGGACTCAGTCTCCATATCTATAAAATTGTAACATTAATTTCTGTAGGTCCCACTTTATGGGATTGTTGTGAGACCCAAGTGAGATAAGGTGTATAAAATAGAGTGCAAATCTTAAAACACTTTTCTTTTCTTCATTTTTGTTTTGATTCTGAACTTACCCCCATTCTTATTTCCACCTACCCAGCAGAATACAAAAAAGGATTGTATATGAAACTGTGAATCTCCATTTCATATTGCTTGCTTTTTTTGTATAAAATAAATTTCATATTACTTTCAAAACTGTCCTGCTTGTCTGGGCTTCCTTCTAAACTTCCTTTTCTTCTCTTTTGTGTATTTCTTTCTTTTTTTAAAAAAAATTTATTTATTTTTAGTTTTCAACATTCACTTCCATAAGATTTTGAATTTTAAAATTTCTACCCTTTCCTCTCCTCCACACTCCCCAAGATAGCATGCAATCTGATATAAGCATATTTTCATGTTAGTCATGATGTAAAGAAGAATTAGAACTAATGGGAGGAACCATGAGAATGAAGAAACAAAACATAACAACAAAAGAAAAGGAGAGCAAATAGTATGCTTTGATCTGCATTAAGACTCCACAGTTCTTTCTCTGCATGTGGACAGCATTTTCCATCACGAGACTTTTGGAGATGTCTTACATCCTTGCGTTGTTGAGAAGAGTCTATCAAAGTTGGTCATTGCACAATGTGTCTATTACTATGTACAGTGTTCTCCTGGTTCTGCTCATTTCACTCAGCATCAGTTCATATAAGCCTTTCCAGGTTTTCTAAAGTCTGCTGTTCATCATTTCTTATCGAACCATAGTATTCCATTCCATTCATATACCACAACTTGTTCAGCCATTCCCCAATTGATGGGCATCCCCTCAGTTTCCAATTCTTTGCCACCACAAAAAGAGCTGCTACAAATATTTTTGTACATGTGGGTCTTTTCCTATTTTTATGATCTCTTTGGGATACAGACCTAGAAATGACATTGCTGGGTCAAAGGGTATGCACAATTTTATAGCCCTTTGGGCATAGTTCCAAATTGCTCTTCAGAATGGTTGGATCAGTTCACAACTCCACCAACAATGCATTAGATTTCCAGTTTTCCCACATCTTCTCCAACATTTATCATTTTCCTGTTTTGTCATAATAGCCAATCTGATAGGTGTGATGTGGTACCTCAGAGTCCTTTTGATTTGCATTTCTCTTATCAATAGTGATTTAGAGCATTTTTTCATATGACTATAAATAGCTTTAATTTCTTCATCTGAAAACTGCCTGTTCATATCCTTTGACCATTTATCAGTTGGGGAATGATTTGTATTCTTATAAATTAGACTCAGTTCACTACGTATTTTAGAAATAAGGCCTTTATCAGAGACACTGGTTGTAAAAGTTATTTCCCTTCTTTTTGCTTCCCTTCTAATCTTGGTTACATTGGCTTTATTTGTGTAAAAACTTTTCAATCAAAGTCATCCCTTTTGTATTTCATAATATCCTTTATCTCTTGTCTGGTCATAAATTCTTTCCTTCTCCACAGATCTGATAGGTAAACTATCCCTTGCCGTCCTAGTTTGCTTATAGTATCAGTTCTTGTATCTAAATTATGTACCCATTTTGACTTTATCGTGGTATAGGGTGTAAGATGTTGGTCTATGCCTAGTTTCTGCCATACTATTTTCCAGTTTTCCTAGCAGTTTTTGTTAAATAGTGAGTTCTTATCCCAGAAGCTGGAGTCTTTGTATTTATCAAATAGTAGATTACTATAGTCATTGACTATTGTGTCTTGCATATCTAACCTATTCCACTATTTCTTAGCCAGTACCATGTAGTTTTGATGACTGCTGCTTTATAATACAATTTAAGATGTGGTACAGCTAAGCCACCTTCCCTTACATTTCTTTTCATTAGTTCCCTTGATATTCTGGACTTTTTGTTCTTCCAGATGAATTTTGTTATTGTTTTTTTTTTCTAGCTCTACAGAATAATTCTTTGGTAGTTTGATTGGCATGGCACTGAATAAGTAAATTAATTTAGGCAGAATTGCCATGTTAGCTTGGCCTACCCATGAGCAACTGATGTTTCCAATTATTTAGATTTGACTTTATGTGAAAAGTGTTTTGTAATTGTGTTCTTATAGTTCCTGAATTTGTTTTGGCAGGGAGACTCCTAAATATTTTATAATGCCTACAGAAACTTTAAATGGAATTTCTCTTTCTATCTCTTGCTGTTGTTGGGTTTTGTTGGTAGTATATAGAAATGCGGATGATTTATGTGGGTTCTTGCATTTCAAAATGAAAATGTTTCAATAGCTCTTTTTTTAGGCTTCAGCATTACTAGCCACCCATATAGTCTCAGGTGTCTCTCACCCCAGCATCCCATTAAAAATTGAGAGGAGAACCCCACCACTTCCACCCCCAACAACCTTATAACAAATAAGAGTCCAGAAAAATGAATGCACACAATGGCCATATCAAAAAATGTATGTTTCTTTTTGTAACTTGAGTCTACCACTTTTCTCTCAGGAGATGGCTAACTCCTCACCACAGGTCCAATGGCAACAGGCTTAGCCTTTGCGTTGATTAAAGTTCTTAAGTCTTTCAAAGTTTTTTTTTTACATGGTTCATGCATGTCTTTGTAAAAATTGTTCTCTTGGTTCTACTTACTTCACTTTGCATCAGTTCATATTACATAGTGCTCAGGGTTCTCTGAAATCATTTCTTTTATAATTTTTTTTAAGGTGTGATAATAGTCCATTCTATTCATATACCACAATTTGTTTAGCCATTCCCTAATGACCTATGACTGTTTAGTTTCTAGTTCTTTAAAAAATTTTTTTCCTTTTAATCTACTCTTCAAGATTTAGGAGTTTGTTTTGCTGGTGACCTTTCCCTTTCTGGTATTGTCCTCCCTCTTTACATGTCCCACCTCCCTCATTCCCTGCCTCCAACCCCGCTTGCCTCTCTGTCAAATTTGATGTATTTCTGCACCAAACTCTCTCCGTCTCTGTCTCTGTCTGTCTCTGTCTGTCTCTCTGTCTCTGTCTCTCTCTCTCTCTCTGTACGTATGAATGTTTAACCTTCCTTTGTCCATTTCAGATTAGAGTGAGGCTCATCTGATGTACTCCATTCCTCCATGCTTGGGGACTTTTCTTACCCAACCCAATGATAAGAAATAGCAAGTTTTGCTCCCTTCTTCCTCCTCGCTGCATTAACACACTCATCTTATCCTTCATTTTCTTTCTCCTTTTCAGACCTTCAGAACAGAAGCTTATCCCAGATACCCAGGAACTCTGAGATCTTGAGTGCTCTGTCCTGAGGGCAGGGAAACTTTTAAGTTTTTCTTGAATCTTGTGTTTGCATTTCAATGTTCCTCCTCAACTCTGATCTATTCATCAGAAATGCTTTGAAGTGCTTTATTCCATTAAAGACCCATTTCCCCCCTCCTTGTAGGATTATACTCAGCTTTTTAGGGTAAGTTATCCTTGGTTGCATGGAAATATCTTTTTCCTTTTGGAATACTGTATTCTAAGATGTCCTCCCATTTATAGCAGACACTTCCAGGTCTCATGATCCTGACCATGGCTTCTTGGTACTTGAATTGCTTCTTTCTGGATGCTTTTACAGTATTTTTTCTTCATTGTAAGAGGTCTGGTTTTTGGCTATGACATTCCTGGGACTTTTCTTTTTGAAATTTCTTTCAAGAGGTGGTTGGTGGATTTTTCCCCACCTTTTCTTTGCTCTCAATTCTAATATATCAGAGCAGTTTTCATTTATGGTTTCTTGAAATACACTGTCCAGGCTTTGGTCGAGTGCTTCGGTTAAGTGATTCTTAAATTCTATTGCTTTACAAGGTCTTTTTTTTTTTTATCAGATCTCTTACATTTTCCTCTATTTTTTTTCCAGTTTTTTGATTTAATTCTAATATTTCTCACTGCCTTATGGAGTTAGTGATTTCTGTTTGATCTATTATGGTTTTCAGTGATTCAGTTATTTGGGTAAGGTTTATCATTTTGTTTTCTAAACTATTCTCCTTTCAATTCTTTCTCCAGAGATGTTATTTCATTTTTCATTTCTTGCTTCATTTCTTATAGGGCTCTATGTAGTCCCTGTGGAAAATCCATTTTTTTTTCCTTTGGGACTGTGCTTGAAGCTTTTATGGAATTATTATTTTCTTCTAAGGTGGAATTTTGAGTATCACCTGAATCTTCAGGCCCCTCAGGACAGAGTGCTTGGGACCTCAGAGTCTCTGAATGCCTAGACTTCCTTGGTTTGAGCTTTGTTCTGTTCTAAGTGCTGCTGTGTTACACTGGTTGCTTCAGGGCTATTAAATGTTTAACAACCAGTCTCAAAAAGTCTGTGTATGACATACTTTTAAATTTAATATGCATGATAAAGATTTTATTAATCACTTCCTTAAGTCTAGACCACTCACAAAACAATAAATCAAAGCCTGATTTGTAGCATTTGCTGACAATTGGCTGTCAGGAGCCAGTAAGAGCTGGCTCGGGCACACCCCTGCTTCCAAGTCTACTGCTTCTGTTGCCTCCAGACCTGGAG